CGGAGAGAAAGGAACTAGAGTGATGGACGGCTACCTATGGCGTTGCCATGTGGCCTCGGTCACGTGGGTTCGTGACGTAAGGGGTAAAAGAATCTTGAGGTCATGAGGCTTCCCCTGACCTAGATTCTATCTCTCCGTCACCGGCAGAATCACTGATTAATTCATTTTGACTGACCGGAGTCTATGGTGGGTATGAACTATGTGAATAGGCGGGTTCGGAGAACCCTCGCCTAAGTTAGGATACATGTCCCTGACCATCCGTGAGTTCCTGAGTCTGTCCGTCCGTCCGTTAGTGTGTCCGTCTGTTCAGAGTTATATTTCAGAATCCTGTGGACCGATTCCGTTCATTCTTTGCATGTGCCTAGTACCTTATGTGGGACATATGCACATGCAGTGGTTTAGCGATTTGATTCAAAATGGCCGACTGGCAGCCATCTTGTTTTTTGAAAATGTTGTATTTTGGACATGCTTTGTCAGTTGTCATTCAAACTTGGTACATAGTTTAAACATGTTAGGATACAAAAAATGTACATGTCCATGATGATTTATTTCGTAATTGGATCAAAGATGGTCGACTGGCAGGCATCTTGTTTTTTTTTTATGCGGTATCTTGAACGTGCTCTGTCAGTTTTCATTCAAATTTGGCACATACATGTACTTTATACATGTTAGGATGCATGTCCATGACAATTTGTTTCAAAATCTGGTCAAGGATGGCCGATTGACAGCCATCTGACTTTTTGGCCTACTACTATATTTCCACAATTTATGTACACATACATCATACATATCAGTGTGTTTCATAATCAGATCAAAGATGGCCGAATAACGGCTGTTTTTATTTTTGGCCATATTACTACTACAATGAACTCGTGTTTTGATGTAAATAAGCTATCTGTTGTATATGCCACTTGGAACTCAAGTTTCAAGGACACTTTCATGACAACCCCTCCACTTTAATATGACAAGCACAAAGAGAACTTTCACAATTTTAGCGGGGACTGTGTTATTTTCAATGAC